TATTTTTAAAGGGATTGCATGGACTCCACTGATTGTTTTATGTAATATAGAGATTTGAACAATATTAATCCTTACAATCCTTGCAATTAATCCCCTTACATGGTATATCTTTCCATTTGTTTGTGTCATTTTCAATTCCTTTTATCAGTGTTGTGTAGTTTTCAGAGTACAGGTCTTTCACCTCATTGGTTAAGTTTATTCTTAGGTCTTTTTGTTCTTGGAGGTGGTGCATTGTAAATGGAGTTGTTTTCCTAATTTCTCTTTCTGCTCCTTCATTATTAGTATGTAGAAGTGATACCAATTTCTGGTATTAATTTTGTATCCTGCCACTCTACTGAATTCACTTATCACCTCTGGTAGTTTTTTGGTGAAGGGGAATGGGAAATACAGGCCATCTGTTATGGAATGAATAAGTCACAGGAATAAAAGGCACAGCATAAGGAATATAGTCAATGGTATTGTAAAGGTACTTTATGGTGACAGATGGTAGCTACACTTGTGGTGAGCATAACATAATGTTTAAACTTGTTGAATCACTATGTTGTACACCTGAAACTACATAACATTGTGTGTCAACTACACTCAAATAAAAAAAAGTAATTCAGAAAATAAAAATAAGTCCTGGGGATATAATGTATAGCATGGTGATGTAGTTAATAATATTGTATTGCATATTTGAAAGTTGCTAAGAGAATAGATCTTAAAACTTCTCATCACAAGGAAGAAAATTTGTAACTATATATGATGACAGATGCTAACTAGACTTCTTGTGGTGATCACTTTATAGTGTATACAAATACTGATTCATTATGTTGTACACCGAAAACTAATATAATGTTCAATGTCAATTATACCTCAATTAAATAAAAAGATCTTAAATAGATAGATTAAATAAATAGATAGATAGATAGATAGATAGATAAAAATTCTACTAATATGTACTTGAAATGATCGAGGAGAAGACAAAGGAAATACACACCTAAAGGACAATAGTAAGCAATCCAAAACAATGCTGATTCCTTTAGGCTGTTTCAGACAGAATGCCCAAGGTTCTCAAGGACCTTAGGTTTTGAGTGGAGATGGAGAGGTTTGGGAGGATACACAGTTTGGGCTGCTAGGAGATTTTCTTGCTGTCAGGGAGCAAATTCAGTAGAATGGCCACAAAGCTTGCACACAGCTGGGGAGCCAAGAGCCTGCCTAACGCATCTGAGTTGGGGTTCTCCCAGAAGCAGACCTTGAGCCAAACAATCCTGTGAAAGTGATTTATCTGGGAAGGGCTCCCTAGAGAGGCCAGTAAACCTGATGGGAAGCAGGAAAGGGAAAGGGAGAGAACCAAGTATGGGTATGATTCCAAATGAAACCCCAGCTGCAGCTGGAGCCCAGGAGGGGCTCTGGAGCATAAGTGACACTTCAGAGTTCATCCAGCCTCAAGGCAAAGGAGCTGAGCTTTTGTACTTCTGCACCAGTCACTCATTAGATGGGCTTTTTTTGTGGGGCAGGACCTGGGCAGCTGGTTTCCACAATGGCAGGAGGCAACTATTAGTAGCAAAGCATGCAAAAGCTGGGGAATGGGTGCATAATGCCAAGAAGAGTGATATGAGAGCATCTAGATGGAGCATAAGCTGTGTCTACCTGGGCTGAGGAAACAACTTGAAAGGGGCTCTCCTGGAGGTCTTCTGTTACCCCCAATCCTGCTGTGGCATCTTACTATCACCATGTTGACCCAGAGAAGCAAGTCTTCTGTAACTGCCACTTCTTGGTACATAGTCCTAATAGACAGGCTAGCATTTCAAATGAAGTATGTCAGAGAAAACATTTAAAAGCTGTCGTTCTGTCTGGCGTGTCATTGGAGTGTGACATGACTATGGGAGTTCTGTTAGGAGTAATGAAGCAAGATGAGCCCTAGCAGATTCATTCTGCGGAGCACAGCTCAAAGACTGAACTAATATTATTACTGACCATAAATGTTGTTAGGAGGATGTGGAGAGGATGGTAATGCCACTAAGTATTACAATCAAACCTCAATAATGACCAGTGAAGCAGGCTAATAAATTGTAGATTATGTGTGCTGTGCAAATTCATTCCTTCAGAAACCTCAGCTTCCTAATTGCAAGAAGTTCAAAGGCTCCTGTTGCAAGCATTGGGCTGAAAGCCACACAGGGGAAAAAATGAAAAGCTGGCAATTCTGTTAAAATTATCTGAGTCCTCTGGTATTGAGTTACCTTCCTTCTTTCCTACTAATGAAAATGGAAAAATAGAAAAAAGATGTGGATTTGCTAGTAGGTAGGAACTTCCCGAGTGCTAATGTGGTACATCCTGTTTTAACAAGAGGGACTGGGAACCAGAACAGATTCGGCTCTCACTTATGCATTGGGCAACGGCAGGCCTCCGAGTCCCGCTTCTCTGGCTTTGGGGCTTTCTAGGCACATTTTGGAAAAATAAAAAGTCCTTGTCATCCAGAAAGAGGATGCGATGTGTGTGCACTTGTTAAAAATAAATCTGCTCTCACCAAAAACCCATCCAAGAAAATCTAAGGAAAACCCTTCAGGAGAAATATTGTCATTGCACCAATGATTTTCAGGTTCTGAGAATCTCCCGGGAGCCATAGTTTCTTGAGAATTGGGATATGATTTTTGAAGACTTTATGTTTCTTTTGAAAAGCCCATTTTGGTGGACCTGTCTCCTTACCTCAGGGTTTAAGAGATGGAAGATGACAGTATACCCTATAAGCAGTTTTCTTATTAACCTCTCTTTATCCAAGAAGCTGCTGCCCCCTGGAGTCAGGGAAAGGAATGCACACATAACCCTACCTACTCCTCTCCATCTCAAAAAAAAAAAAACAAAAACAAAAACAAAAAACAAAAAAAACACAACTACTCCCAGGTAAACTAAATGGAAAATAGTAATTCAGCAGACTTTTCCCTGGTCAGTGATAGAGGCTTCACATAGAAATGCTTTTGCACTTAATCTGCCTGTTCCCACCCACCTTTTTATAATTGGGAAAACTCAAATTCAGAAAGGATCTTCTGACTGCCATTAGCTACTGCAAGTGACAGTGTTGCTGGAAGAGTTATAACTTCCAGTATAAGAGCCTAGAGTTTAAGCCAGAAGATACTGCTTCTAGCTTTGGCTCTTCCATTCATCAGGATATGGATTTTGGACAGAGTAGGCTTAGAAATCTCTTTTGTTCTACAGCAGCAGTTTCATATGGGGTCTAGCACAGGAGAAGAGAACCTCATATCTAGAGACTGAGTATGGGGAAAATCCTCCAAGAGCTTCTAGATTTTCTACAACATGAAAGTGAACTTTCTCAGGCTTGCGTTTGGTCTTCTCTGGTCCTGGGAGTACCCCCAACATTCTGAATTCATATTGCAGGAGCTGAGATATGTGGCCTAAGCCAGTGATTCTCAACCCTACATTCTCCAGCAAGAGCCCTAGGCAGATAGAGCTCTGTGACTTATTAGGTAATTATTGGTGGGGATGAGAACCTTATCCAACTATTCCAGGTGTCATGAGGTGTTTATATTAAACAATAAGGGAAAATAAAGGGGGAAAAAAGACCTTAAATTAATCTGATAGGCATCTCCCTCTTTCCTGCTTCTTCACTTTCAAAATTATTAGATTAAGATGGAAGCACAGGGGCGCCTGGGTGGGCCAGTCGGTTAAGCATCCGACTTCGGCTCAGGTCATGATCTCACCGTTCGTGGGTTCGAGCCCCATGAAATGTCTGTGCTGACAGCTATCTCAGAGCCTGGAGCTTGTTTCAGATTCTGTGTCTCCCACTCTCTCTGACTCTCCCCTGTTCTCTCTCTCTCTCAGAAATAAATAAAACATTAAAATTTTTTTTAAATGATGGAAGCACAACTCTTAAACATTAAGATGAGTAATTCATGTCTACAATTTTAGAATTTTGTGAGAATCTCTTCTACTCCTACTAAATATTGGATGAACATCTTCATGGAAATTATATATTTTCCTCTTTCATCTTACCTGACTGCCTTCTGTCCTTTTGCCGATGCTTCTTTCCTTCCTTTTCTGAGAAGAGAATACACCGTCCTTGGGTGACGTTCATTCTTCTCCTTAATATTCTGTAAATTAAATACAATGGTGTAACGTTAACTATTATTACTACATCTTATGTTATATGATAAGGGAATAAGAGAGAAGAAAACAAAATATTGTTATGTATATAACCAAACATATACATAAAAAATAAGGCAAGCACATAACATTAAAGTCTTAATTTCTGCAGTTGGCCATATGCCTACTCAGAATGAATTCAGAAAACTCATTTTTAAGATTCTGTTCTTTTCAAAACAGTTCCTGTACAGAAATCTGTATCAGTAAGTGTTCCACAAGAGAAACATAACCAGTGAGTTATGCACACGCACATGCACACACACACACACACATGCACACACATACAGAAAAGCTCATATATACATGCTATACATACAGACACAGAAACACATGTATTTATATATCAAGAGATATATTATAAGGAATTGGCTTTTGCAGTTGTGAGAGATGGCTAGGCAATTCTGAAATCTATGAAGTGGGCCATCAGGAAGTGGAGGCCAGAAATTCTTGGACACAAGCTAAAGCTATAATCCACTGGCAGAATTTCTCCTTCCTCAGGAAAACATCAATTCTGCTTTTAAAGCCCTTCACCTGATTGTAGGAGAGACTTAACCAGATTTTTGAGGATATCTGTACTTAAAGTCTACTGGTTGTAGTTGTTAGTAACATCTCCAATATGCTTTCATGGCAACACCTGTGGTGTTTGACTGAATAACTGGGGAGTATAGCCTAGCTAAGTGACACATTAAAGCACATCCATGCTTTGCTTCAATTTTTGTTATCTCTATTTCCAGCGTAATTACTTTTAAAAATATATATTAAGATGGATTTTTTTTTTAGTTAAGTTCATAGTTATTGAATGTTAATGATATTCTAAGATCAGCCATGGGTACCACACTGTGTGTGTCTTATTTCATAGGCATTAAAGTCCACATGGAATGTGGCTCATCTGAGCATTTGGCATGTTCTAGAAGATGAAATCATTTCAAAAAGTCAGCCAAAAGGGTATGGAAAAGGAGGGAATCTTGGATGTGAGCATAGTGACCAACTCAGCAGGTGTGTATTTTAAAATATTAGAATATTTATTTTAAAGCCATTTACTTCCCTCACCTATTGGAAGGCTCCCAGTCTTGCTACTCAGATGTCATTTCTTTATCCAAACTCAAAAGAGCTACGAACTGGTCCCATGTTCACAGTCCCCATGGTTTAAGTCCATTTCTATCATCTCTTCCTCCTTGCATTATGGCAGCTTTCTTCCTCCCTGTTTCTCACTCCTCAGAGTGAGCAGAGCCTGAAGAAGGCTTCATTCTCCTTCTTATCATCCTCAAGTTTCTATAGTTGACACACTAGAGGGAATAGAAAATGATGGAGGAAGTCAATAAGCCACAGTAATTCAGTCTCAGCAGTTGTTTCTAGAATGGTCTATGTTTAATTCCATGCACACATGAGTGGCTTAGGCTAGGCTTTGAAGCAAATGCCTCATTAAGGAAATATATAGAAAACATCTCAAAATAGTAATTTTGGGATTTTTACTTTGTGTCATTTCCTTTTCATCACGACCTTTCCCCTTCTCAGTAAGAGGCATCCACATTGCCTTGAGGATAAGTAGATCATTAGAAAGAAAATGAAAAGAGGAAGCAGTCAATGTTCAGCTTTCTGAGTTCCAAAACAGTCTTTTAAGAATCAAAAGTGATGGCCTTAGATAGACAGAGCAATATTTAGGCCATAATTATATAATTAGAAAGAGAATAGAGAATCTTTGTCAAGATGGCATCTTTGCAAAAGGGAAAAAATGTATACATAAAGAGACATGGCTGGACTTAATAAAAGATGAACATTTCCATAGTCAAGGACCAGAACGGACAAACAAAATGGTGAGCAGAGCAGATGGTAAGACCTCATTGCACTTTGAATGTGAAGTAGCAGAAGTTACAAGGGCTTTTGTTTAGTTCCAAGTCAAGAAGACTAAAAGTGTTCCACAGGAGATGACATGTTTAGGTGGACACCCTCACTTATGAATAGAGAGTGTAATTTTCCTGCCAACCCTTTCTAGGGGATAAAGTTGCTTGTAAGCCTGATGCCTAAAAAAGGTGGAGACATGGACACATCTGCATGCTCATGATGGGACCTAGCTTCAGATTAGGGTCCTGGAGGTTACAGATGAAGCAACTGTAAAACCAAAACAAACAGAAAAGCAAAACAATTCATTGCAAAGGAAATTTAAAAAAGGAAAATACAACATTTTACCAAACCAGCAGAAGGCAGAGAAAGAGAGTAATGATGAGAAAGAAAAAGCATGTTTATCTCAAACCAAAAAATAAGGTAATGGAAATGAACCCTATCAGGCTCACAGAAAAAGTAAATAGACTAAACTTTCCTACCAAAAGTCACAGTTTATAAAATTGAATTTGAAATAGGGTGCTAAGTAAAATACACCCAAAATAACACCATGCAGAAAGATTTGAAACAAAGGCATGAAAAAGAAAATAAACACTAAGTAAAAAAAAAAGTAATGATAATAAATAATGTCTGGAAAAATAAGACTGAAGACATTACTAGGGTAAAAAGGGATATCATATAATTATGAAAAGAGTACAAGCCAATGGGAAGTTACAGTAATCATGAATTAGGGAAGAACTCAACAACATAAATTTCAAGGTAATAAAAGTAAAATGTACAGAATTACAAAGATAAATTAACAGACAAAGAAAACATTGGTGATTTTAACAAAACTACCAAAAATGGGTAAATTAAGCTGAAAAAATAAGAAGACATATAAATGACTTCCAAAACAAACTTTGTAACATTTATCTATTATGTATAAATGTTTACTCACTGATTGGTAATGTGACTTCTGACATATGTCTGTTTTCCTTGTTCTATTTTTTCTTTGTTTCACAGTCTACACATATTTATGGATAAAAGCACAAATACTGAAATATTAAAAAATTGTGATGGGAATTATGAACACTGATTATGTGATCATGATATGCTGGAATTATTCTGAAGAAACAAAAGGAAAAGCCAAGCTAGAGGAACATGACCTGGGTCAGGAGATGTCGTGTAAGAGTACTGACCCTTGGGAACCACAGCGAACACTTGGAAGACACTTGCAGAGAGAATTTGTAAGAGTCACTGGAGAGCTTGCTTCCATTGCTCTGCTATCCTCATGTGAAGACACAGAGAAGTCTGCAGTTTACAGCCTGGAAGAGGGTTTTCACCGGAACCCCACCCTGCTGGCATCTTCATCTCAGACTCAGCCTTTTGAACTGTGAGAAATAAATTTATAAATTTATAACATTGTTTATAAGCCACCTCATTTCTGAGTATTTTGTTGTAGCAGCTGAGCTGATGAACACACTACCCTGTTTCTTTCACTGCTTGTTCCATTTTGCCCCATCTGCTTATCCCTGACCAATTCATTAAGGTATACAACTCCTTTCTCTTCCTTCTCATCCCTTCCTGCCACATGTATTGGCCATGCTCTACCAACACTGTGCTATTTACTGTTTATATAGTGGTGAACAAAATGGAAACAGTGCCTGCATCCATGAGTGTTACAACTTGATACGGAAGATTTAACATGATGAACACAGTTAAATATGTAAATACAAATTTTCTGAAATGTACCATGAAAGAAAATGTGTGTGTTTTTTCCTGTGAAAGAGATAATAACTTGGTGATGTGCTTTAGTTTGAGGGCCCAGGGAAGGAACTACCATCGATTCTGAAGGACGATGAGCCAAAAAAAAAAAAAAAAAAAAAAAGAGTTGCCTGGTAAGGGAGAGGATTAAGACCTCTGCAGATCTGAAGGATGAGGAAATGGGTTCTCAGTTGGAAGAACACTTTTTTTCCCAGTGGGAAGGGAGGAGAATATCGTTCTTCAGTTTGAACACATGATAGAAAACTTGGTTTAAGCCATGAGAATCTCAAAATTTCTACTCAAAACCTTTAGATGTTTCTTAGAGTTGTTCTAGCATCTAAATTCCATACAACAAATGAAAAATCAGCCTATTTTTCTGTTTAAATATCCTTTCTTCCACCACCTTGTATTGTTTCTGTTGAGTACTTGGGTAGACACATGTTGTTTCTTTATATTTAGATTTTCACCAGTATGTGTTAGAATCATATCTTTAATTACTCTTTCCTGGGTCAGATCTTTATTCATCTCAGAATATTTCTTCATTGTGTTTAATTAATTTGATGTGACATCAAATGTTTGTAGTGTTTTCCTTTTCCTTCATTTTTTAATGAAATTTTGATTGTTTACATCTTTACTCTTCATTTGCTGCTATAAAATTAATTGTATTTTCTTCAATAATTTTTAGCTTGACGTTTTCCCCATCCAAATCCTGGCAGAAATCCTCAAGCATTTTAATTTTAAGTTTAATGCAGGATAAATTCTCCTTTTTATGGAGCAGCTACCTTTATGTTCTCCAAGAATTGCTGTCCCCATATAAAGCAGTTGATCTACAAACTCTTTTTTCTACTCTGTCCTTACTCTATCAACGAACAGGCATCTGCCGCAAGCCATAAGAGCCTATAGGTAGCTTCAAACTTGTGGTTCTAGACCCTTCTTGGAACTAACAGGTCACAGAGTCCACAAAAACCCCTGTATCTTACTAATAAATTCTCTTTTTATTTTTATGTCTATACAATCATGCTTTTGTTGCTTGCAGTCCGAATACTTTGCCTAAGTCCAGGTATCAGGAGGAATTATTTCAATCTTCTATGGCTGTTCACTCTACCCTACATGTAGAGGATTAGGAGATGTTTAAGGAATTTAAAATTGATGAAAGACATTTTTTTTCTGCTTGAACAGCAGAAATTTGAATGCAAGTTGCATATAATGAATACTTACATATTGCAGGTTTGAAGAAGAAAGATAAAGGATTTAAAAGGCATTATGAGACTTTTCTTCAGCTCTGTACAGCCTTTGATGTTTATGAAGCTTGTTAAAGTCCTGTCACACAGACATAGCAAAGAGGGAGCAGGTCTGTTGTTTCCTATAGCAATGGTCATTTCTACTTGTTCTAAGAAACACTATTTTTTTTTTATCAATATTCAGGAATAAAATAAGTGTTTTTCTAATGTTTATAATGTGTATGGAGACAGAATCTAAAGACTTTTAGATCAAAGAATACTGATACTACCACCAATATATATTATTTATTACAGTATTAGATATTCTATCAATGTAGTAAAGTGAGATAGGATGGTCAAGGTAAGATTGGCACTTTCTTAGTTTAGTACTTTATAGCTGTGAAGTATGTCTATTGAAGTTCAGATGATCACTAAACTTAGAAAGGAATATGAGAAAAAGATAAATAATTGCCTTTGTGGCCAAAAGACCAATCAGACATTTCATTAGTAAATTGGGAACCTTGAAACCTACCATTAGTCTCATATGGAAGGTAAAGTCTTGAAAGAGAAGTAAATCACAGCATTAAAAAAGCAAAACATGACCTAATCCTATTTTGTGTGTTCACATTTTGTTATAGACCAAGAGAAGAAGCGAAGGACTTTTTTTATTTAACAACTTATTAGTATTAATAATAATACTAATTACAATTTGCATGGCTCAAGTAATGGTTCTTAGAGGAAAAACATTAGCCTCAAAAGCTTATGCGAGAAAAGAAGGAAGGCTGAAAACTAATGAGCTAATATTTCAACTTAAGAAAAATCAACAACAAAAAATCAAAAAATAAAACTAAAGAATAGAAGGAGATGTGAGTAATAAAGTCTAGGAATTCTTAAAAAGAAACCAAATGTACCATAGATAACATCAGTAATGCCAACTTTTATTTCTTTAAAAAGATTATAAAAGTTGAGAACCCTCTAACAGGGTATAAGAATAAAGGGTACAGATAAACAATTTTAGGAATGCAAAAATTGCATTTCTAAAAGATGCAGATAATAAAATGATAACGGAAATAATGTGTGCCAACGTACTAGAAAATTTAGTGAAATTGAATAAAAATTTCTAGAAATGTGAATAATTCCAGAAAAAGAAAATTTGACTTGTTTTCCTCTTGTTCTCCTTACATTTAGAGGAAAATTATACCAAATATTCAAGGAATAGATCATTCTAAAGAAAATTCTTTCACAGACTGGAAAGAGAGGATACATTGGGAAACATATGTCTTGAAGCTAGTAAAATCTTAAGACCCAAATCAGGATAGGACAATGGGATACATGGAAATTATAATGCAATAAATCATGGACATAAATATAAAAATGCCTCCAAATGCCTCCCAAAAATCAGTAACAAAATGAATCCAGCACTGTAAAATAAAACACAATATTATGACTAAGTTGGATTTCTTACTTATATATAAAATTATTATGTCCTATAATTCTTCATAGCAGCACATTGAAAAAGAAAAATATAATATCTTAATAACTGCAATAGATTAAGGAAAAATATAAAATTTAGCAATGATTTCTTACCAAAAAACTTCCTAACAAAGTAGAAACAGAGGATAATTTCTTTAACTGATATATTGATATATATTAATTTCTGCCTCTCTGTCTCTCCCTCTCTGTCTCTCTCTCTATATATATATAATTTCATATATATAATTGATTCTTTATATGAATCATGAATCAATGATTCATAGATTCATGATAGATCAGTCAAGATAGATTCATTTTAAGGATTTAGTTTTCTCAATTATGGAGGCTGCCCCATCCCAAATCTGCAGGGTGGGTCAGTAGACTGGAGACCTAAGGAAACCCCAACTTTGCAGTTCAAGACTGAAGGTTGTCTGTCAGCAGAATTTATTCTTGCTTAAGGGAAGTCAGTCTTTTCTAGTCAAGCCTTCAATTGATTGGTCAAGGCCCACCCACATTATGGAGGGAAATTTGCTTCCCTCAAAGTCCACTGATGTTAATGTTAATATCATCCAAACACCCACCCAGAAATATCTAGAGTAAAAATTGACCAAATATCTGGGCATCACGGCCCAGTCAGATTGACACATGAAATTAACCATCACCATGATAAAGTATTTAAAAGCATTTTCTTTAAAATTGGCAGCATTGCAAGTGTGATTGCTGCTAATGTTTCTGACCATCATGTGCCAAAGGATCTAGCCATTGCAGTAAGACAAGAAAAAGAAATTAAAGATAGAAATATTAGAAAGAATGAGGCCAAATTTTTATTCAATAGCCCATTGATGTGATTATCTTAAAGAAAAGTTTCTATCAGAAAATTATTAGTTTTAATAAGATAGTTTAGTGCATTTTCTGGGTATAAGACCAATACACAAAAATTAATTTTATTTCCATGTATTATCCAAAAACAATTAGAAAAAAAAAACTGAAAAAATACTATGTACAATAGCAATATAAATATTTGGTACATAGGGTAAACATTTAACAAAAGGTATAGAAGATCCTATGTATATACTAATATGTATAGCTTTAATAATAAAGAAGGACTATGTTATTTTCATGAAGAGAGAAACTCACTTTCTTATAAATGCCATTTGTTTTCAAATTGATTTATAGATTCAGTGTAATAAAAGTAATATTATTTTTTATAGTTTATTTATTTTGAGAGAGAGAGAGAATGTGTGCATAAGTGGAGGAGGGGCAGAGAGAGAGAGGGAGAGAGAGAATCCGAAACATGCTCTGTGTTGTCAGCATCGAGCCTCATGTGGGGCTCGATATCATGAAAGGTGAGATCATGACCTGATCTGAAATTAAGAGTTGGATGTTCAACTGACTGAGCCACCCAGGCACCCTGAAGTAATATTATTTTATAATGATATGTGATAAGCTTATTCTAAAATGAATATGAGAGACAAAAGGGCCCCAAATAGTTACAAATGCAATTTGCACTATATGCAAAAAAACAAAAAAAATGGGTTCAAGAATTCCTTATATTAGCCGCCACCATGGGGTGAAAGCACCCAGGGTTAGTTAGCAAGATATTATAATAAGATCACGAGTAAGTTGTTATATCACCCTCAAGAAATCACTTTCTATCTGGTGTCAATATACTTTGATCACAAGCATCACTTGTCCCCCAGACCCTTTGCTTCTTACACAAGTTAATGATTACTATATGATTGTTTTCTTCACATTCACAGTGTGTGTAAGATCTTGAGGGCTTAATAAATACAGAGATGAACACCCTGTTTGAGGCTCTTGTTGCCTCCTGGATATTAGCCTCTCTCGTATTCAATTCTGTGTCTACTCTCTTGCTGGACAAGAGAGAACTCCAGTCTTGTAGTCTGCGACAGCACTATACCTACTACCTATTAGATATATAATACCTACCTATTATAGGTATTATAGGTATTATACACACATACACATATATAGGTATATACCTACACCTATATAGGTATAGGTATACAGGTATATATAATACAGGCTGGTATTATTGTAGGAGTAGACAAATATCTACCACAGGCATAGAACAGAGATCCAAAAGCAAACTCATCAATCTGGAGAACTGATATGGTTCCAATTGGCTCAGTAGATTAGTGGGGAAATGATTCACCATCACTGTGAAGCAGTAAGAAAAAGTCCTTTGAAAAAGAACTACACAGGAGAAGAAATACAAATGGCATATAAGCATGGAAAGATGCTCGTTGTCATTAATAATTCAGAGAACTGAAAATTAAAACCTACAGTTAAGTATCATTTCAGTCATTAGTCTGGCAAAAACTCAAATCCTGCCAATACCATGTTTGACGAAGGATGTGAAGCAAAGAAAACTCTCTTGATTGCTAGTGGAAATATGAATTGAAATTATGTTGGAAAATAATTTGACATTACTCAGTAATGTGCATATCATGTAACTGTTTAATTCTATTCTATTCCTAGGTATGTGCCTTAAACTCCTGCACATGTGGACCAGAGAACATGTACAAAAGTGTTCAGAGCAGCATTGCCTACAATAGAACAGTTGTGCAAACAACCTGCATTGGTTTTCCATTGCTGTATAACAAATGAACATACATTACATGGCTTAAAACAACACCTATTTTTTATCTCATAGTTTCTGTAGGTCAGAAACGGTGCCTGGCTAGCTGTATTCTCTGCTCAGGGTCTCAGAAGGTTGGAGTCAAAGTGTTGGCCAGGTTGTGTTTGTTATCTTCTAGACCCTAGTGTTCTCTTTTAAGGTTGTGTGGTTGTAGGTAGAATTCAGCTCCTTGCAGTTGTGGAACTGAGGTCCGTATTTTCTTATTGGCAGTTGGCTGGGAGCTACTCTCAGCTCAGGTGGTTTCCATCAGTTCCTTGTTCTGTGGCCTTCTCATGGTTCAGATCTCTCTGACCTTCTTTAAGGGCTCACTTGAATAGATCAGGCCCACCCATGAATATCTCCCCAATTTAAAGTCAACTGATTAGTGATTTTAAAGGTATCTATGAAGTCTCTTCACAGTAGCAGTAGATTAGTGTTTGATTGAATAGATAGGAGAAAGCATGTGTCCACTAGAGATTGGGAATCTTGGGGGCCATCCTAGAATTCTGCCTGCTATGCGGTCCAAATGTTCAATGTCATTAGAGTAGATCATCGTATTTTTTATTGTATTTTTTATAATAGAGTCAAATGATAGAATAACTTAATAGCAGTGAAAATAAATGAAGTTAAACTACACATTTATATTGATGAATGTCAAAAATCCGTTGAG